GGGGGGGGGACCCTCATCTGTGAAGAGAGAAGGGGCACCTGAGGAGGGAGGAGGGAAACCCGCAGAGGAGGGGGCCGGGGGCCAGGAGAAGAAAGGGCTTTAAGAACTGGCAGCGGAGAGGACACGTAAGGTCGGGGCAGGAAGGTGACCGCTGGACTTGGCCCCACGGGGGCCCCGGGCGGCCTCAGGAGGAGCCTTTCAGTGCAGGAGGAGGACTGGAGGGAAGAGTGAGGTGAGAGTGGAGCCAGGGAGCGCGGGCAGGGGCTTTAGGAAGTTTAGGAGCTGTGCAAGGGAAGGGAAAAAGCGATGGTTGGACAGGGTGGGTCAGGCGGGGTCTTTGCAAGTGGGGGCACCAGGGGCTGTGTGCGCAGAGGGGTGGTCCTGGGGAGAGGCGGGGGCTACTCATGCACAAGAGGGAGGGACAAACCCGGGAGCAAAGCCCTGGAGGGGAGGCGGCAAAAGAGAATGGGAGGCAGGGCCCACGTCCAGGGCTGCAGCTGCCTCAGACGGGACAGGGACCCTTCATGGTGGCCTCAGGGCAGAGGGCCGAGAGTGAGCTGAGACGAGGCAGGTCAGGAGGCTTCGTGGGAAGATGGCAGCATCTCCGTTTGACACTTGCGTGGTTGCTCCTGGAGAGAGAGGCTCGCGAGCTGGTAAGGTGGAGAGAGGAGGTGTGGCATAGGCGTTTGGAAACCAGGACGGCAAATATGCAACACAGAGCGGACAGTGGGGTGCAGGGCAAGGGGCTGGCGAGGGCTGGAGGGAGGGTGGCGGCAGCGAGGGGCGGTGAGGGGTGGGGACAGGGCTCACGAGACTCGCCGAATGGTGGGCTGAGGGGGAAACGCAGAGGAGAGCGGCTCCAGGGTGAGGGTTTGTATATGCTGGAATGTAGCACAAGGTTGTTCTCATTCATTCATTCATTCATTCAGTCATTCATTCATTCAGTATTTGATTGGCTGAGCACCCAGACTTTGGAGCCCAATTGCCTGGGTTCAAACTCCAGTTCTGCCACTTTCCAGCTGTGTGACCTTGGGAAGGGGACTTTCTCTCCTTGTGCCCTTGTTTCTTCCCCTGCAACCACATCTACTCCCTGGATCACACAGGTTAATCAAATAAGTATTTTAAACAGCGCCAGGTAGAGAGTCAGCGCTCAGTGAGCATCCACTGCTGGGCTGGTGATTGTTGGGGTGGTCTGACTGTTATTTTGTGCCAGATTGTGCTCTGGGAGCTGGAGACAAAGCCACACGTCAGAGAAGTCGTCGCCCTCGTGGAGCCACCCTACAGCAGGAGAAACTGGCCACAGATCATCACGGATGCGGGTGTGGAGAGAGCCTATGGCCCACAGGCCAGTGGTTCTCAAACGCGGCTTCGTATTAGCAGCATGGAGAGATTTTTAAGAATATGGAAACTGGGTCCTGCCTTGGAGAGGCAGGATTTTTAAAAGCTGCCCAGGTGACTCGGAGGCACAGCCGAGTTTGAGAACCACGTCTGCATATGAGGACGCGGGGTCTGCATATCTCCAGTTGCAGCGAGCAAAGGCATGATCTGATATTTGTCTTAGAGAAATTGCTCTGGCTGCTGCGTGGAGCACGGACCTGGATTGGGGGTTGCTGAGAGCGAGGGCAACGGGGATGCAATGTGAGGGGCTGGCAGAGGCTGGGAAGAGGGTGGCAGCGGGGAGCAGAGCTCGTGAAACTGGCTGGATGGTGGGCCGGGGGGAAGATGCGGAAAAAGGAGGCTCCAGGGTTTCGGTTTGAGGGGCTGAGTCAGTAGGAAGAAGAGTGTGGTAGAGAGGGATCGAGACTTCTGCTTTCGACACAATACGCTGGAGAAAAGTGTTAGATATCTAAGAAGATACATGGAGTGGCCTTTGGTAGAAGGCATTGAGGGAACAGAGAATCCGAGGTACTGGGCTGGTGGGTCACTGACAGGCAGGTGATGCCTGACAACGCCACGGTCAACAGTGTGGCCCAGCTGTGCTCTTTCTGTCACAAGCAATGTATTCAGAACGATGCCACTCTGCTCTTTAGAATGTGATAGGGAGTGAAATTGTGAATATTTATATTGCACATATTTTACATCATTAACATGAATTTATGGGCATTATAGCATAATATACTTGACCTATTGTTGCCAGTTCTTTCGAATTTTAATGGAGCATGATAGGTCGTGTGATGTTCTTTTTGGAAAAACATTACACTGTAATTGGTTAGTGTAAATATCATGCACTTGGATGTTTGTGTGAGCAACAAATGAATTCATTCATTTACTTAGTGCACAGAAATGAAGAGTACCAATGACCACAATGTCACAATACGAGGGCCACACTGTTGTTAAATTTTTGGCAGTTTGGCAAGTCATAGTATTTGTTATATTATTAACAACACTAGGGGCATCACAATCTAAAGAAGCACAGCAATGTAGCATTGGTATTCCTGTGAATATTAGAATCATTTCACTATAAAGTAGTATGATAACATCAGTTTTTCTAAAATATCAAAAGCAGGATGTGTGTGTGTTTTTTAAAGGTTTAAGTGGTGTTCCCCACATGGCTTTTAGATGTCTGTCCTATAAAGCAAGGCATCTCGATTCTACCTAGGCACGGAAATTATTTCACTTTATTTGGTAACCATGATACAATGGAATCTGTTTTCTTTGGTCCAGGATCCAGTGTTTTAGGAATGCTTACAGGTCTGGGTAGTTTCACATCTTGTAATATTTGAGATCTAATTTCATCTCTTGTTTATGGGAAAAGCCAGAAGCCAAACGCTCAAGCCATAAGCTCGGGAGCCATTTGTAGTCATTGTTCCTTTCCTTCTTCAAGTCTTCTCACGATGAATTCCTAGGATTTATGGCTTCTTTATTCCCACTGCCAAATAGTTCAAAACTTGAATATTATGGGAGCATGTGTTCTCATCCATATTATGATTTCTATTGAAGTTTAGTTCAATAAAATTCAGGATTCTATGTAATAAATTTCCCCATGTAGATGATATTTTTATTTCCTCCTGTAAATATTTTTATAACTGAGATTGGAGCATCAAAACAATTGTTAAATATTTGCTTAGAATCTGCTTTAGAGCAGAGTCTCTGCCAAAAACCATCCTCTCCTGGTGTCTGGAATGGGTAACTTTTCATGTACTACTCAGTCTGCATCCTCGGTGATAAAGTGATGATAAAACCCAAACAAGGAGGCTGTGATTTTAATATACTTTATTTAAAAAGTACACAGTTTTAAATTGGTTTCGATGGGTCTCAAGCAGAAGGGACGCTGCCCACTGGCAGTCCCGTTTCTGATGAAGGGTGGTTATCAGGTAGCAAACTCACATTTACATGACTGGCAAAGTAAAAAGATAACATTTTTGTCAACATGTCTGTAAGAGTTTCTATCACGCACAGTTTAAAATCATGAGATGCTGATGGTTGGACTCTATTCCATGTCTCCTATGTCGCACCATGTTTCGGTTCACAGTTTATCCATAATTGAGCATGCCAAGAGAACGTGTCGGTCGGTGTCACCTGAAGAAGAGCATCGGGAGCATGGGGAAGAGGGCGAGGCCCACCTTGGCCTGGAGGCTGGGCGCACCCCCGCACTCCCTGGCGTTCTCCTGCGGGGAAAGGCGGGGCTGCTCAGAGCCGAGGCCGAGGCCGAGGCCGAGGCCAAGGCCCTGCACGCTGGGCAAGTTATTCTGAGGCCCCTGACCCTCCCCGCTCTTCCACTGTATGAACGGTCTCCGGTACCTAGATCATGCAGGGAAGCAAACTTGTCTAAATTTCATCAAGTGAGCGATGAGAATCTCTGATTTCTGTTGTAAACGTGTAACACATTCAAAATTACCCTTTGCAAGCTATTATGTAGAACATTCGAGGGCTCAAGGGCTATTTATTGGTGCAGGTTTCCATTGGGATCCTATGGCAGAAGCCAAATATTGGCTTTCTAATTCTTGCCCCTGTCAGAATGTAAGTTAAAAAAATCACATCTAAGGGGGCTGATCGTTTTTGGCTACGCAAGGTTTGGTTCCTCCTTTCTTTTCATTTGGAGGAAGGGGGAGCCTGCTTTACAAAAATGAAATATTATTTATTACGTTCTGCAGCGTGCTTTTATCCACTGACTGATACAAGCTTCTGCAATGCCGCTGTTCTAGCTCTGTTTCATTCAGCTATTTTCTTATTGATGGGCACTCATTTTTGCCTCTGTTCTTACTGCTACAAAGAATGCTGAATGTAGGTCCTCACCAGACAATGATATGTGCCCCTGCCCCTGCCTGTGGCAGAGATGCCCAGTCTTGGGAGTGCAGGCCTAAAGGGGATTTTGCCTTTAATGGCTATAACTAGACATTTCATTGCTACCTGTATATTCCGATCACCCCGTGACTTGTATCTTTCATGATCGTGGTTTATTTTTATATGTAGTTGTTTGACTTATCAATTTAAAAGTCCTCTTTATAATTTGATTTATACATTTTTTCCCCAAGTTCTATAACTTGGCTACTGACTTTAAGTAATCTTTTTCCATAGAAAAGTTATAATTTTTACATAGTTAAATAAGTCAGTTTTTCTTCCATAGCTTTCTTTTCTTAGGTAGGAAGATCTCTGAAATCCCTAGGATTTCCTGTGAGACAGTTATTTTACTATTTCAGTCTAATTTATATTCTTCCTTTTGAATTGAACCTTTGTCATATACAAGAGTTTCTATTCTGTTCCACTGACCTCATCTTCGTAAGTCCAGAAACTTACAGAAAAAATGCGGATTTTTAAAAATGTTTGTCTTGTATCAAGTTACCAAAGCAGATTATCTTATTAACGCTAGAAGATCTTACTCTCCTGACTTTAGTTGTCCAAGTAGGCAGTTCTGGTTTGACTGAAGTGGTTGTAGTGTTTTGGGGACTACTGTTTGTGTTTGTATTTTACATAGAGCTTTTATTAGGGGTGATCACTGAATTTTATCAAAGGCCTTTGAGCATATATATGTATAACATGTTGCTACTGAACTTGAACTCCTATTTGAATATAGAAGGAAACATTCTCAATAAATTCCAAGTTCTTATTGGTGCTGTATTGACGTTAAAATCTGTTCTAGGACTTAGTTTAAATAACATTAAAATCATTTGCTATTTAAAGCTGGGTCTGTGGCATTTAAAAAAACAGATAGCTTCCCAGTTTCTCTATAGTAATTGGTCTAGGCAAGTCTCCCATTTTTTCAGGCTGGGTGTGAACTTAATTAAAAAAAAATTTTTTTTTATATTTAAAATTTTGGCTCGCAGTATTGCAGGAGGTATTCTCTCGTAAGTCACTTAAATCTATGGGAAGCTCACGTTTCTCAGCACTTAGCCTAATTTTGCTCTGATCATGGCTTTCAGTGTAAATGGAGCACCCTGTAGTTGTGACTTCCTGTGGTTAGGGATTTAGAGGCTGATCACCCCCCTTCATACACTATTTATAAAAGTGGTATAAATATTGCCACTTTTGCCTTGTGTGAAGTTCTTGTAAATAAAACGTTGTCTAAACGTAAGCCGGGGAAATAATTTTCAGCATAATTTGAAATAAGTGAACTAAGATGATCAGAGCCACTTTGAACGTAATAGTGGAAGGTGATAAAATGCCAGCACGCCCACAGCAGGCAAGACAGGAGGGGGGCTCTGTGAGTCTATCGTGGGCGTAATGAGCACAGGCTATGAGCGCAGGCTGGGAAGGCACCGAGCGTGGGGACCCGCCGGCCTTCCTGCACACCCTTCCTTCCCAAGCCTGAAAAGGGCGGTTTTCTCACGAGTAAACTTTTTAGCTATAGTGAGATTCTCATGGCAAATCTGATGGGAAAGAGAACAGGAAGGGTTTTCAGACTGACCTCGGGATGGAAGCCATGGCAAGACTCCGGGCGCCTTCTGATCTTCTGGGCCTTTAAACGTTCACACTTAAGAGATTCGTTATGTTGACTGTAGTTAAGGCATATTCCCAAAATGTTACTTCCCCTTACTCTGCATCGGCACTACACGTTAACACTGAACTCCCCTGACAATCCCCCCCGATAACACGAGAATATTTCTCCCCCAGGCATCCCGGCTGTGGGGCCCTTACCAGCTTCAGCGCAGTGGCCGCCCCATGCCCGGAAGGATATACCTGATTTCGATGGGCGCCATGGTGATGGGGGCCACGGACTCACAGAGGCAGCTGCTGTCCACCACCACCATGAACAGGTTGCTGCTGGGGATCTGCTGGATGACAAAGGACCTGCGGGACAAGAGTTAAGACACAGCGAGGGGTCACTTACCATTCCTCAAGTCAAGAGCCATGAGGAAAACTTTTTCCCCAGAGGGTAACTACTCTATTTTGGAAAACAAGCTTCAGAGACTGCTTTCCTTCTAAAGTTGCCTTTTTCCATAGGCTCTTCACCTTCAGATACTGAGCTTCATTAAAAAAAAGATAGCTTAGAACTTATAGCTATAGCCAGACACAGCTCGTAAAACTCACCTCGGGAAGACTGGAACTTTATATGTATAAACAGTAGACTCGGATTTGGCTAATTCTGCCTCAATTGCCAAGGTCCAAGGGGTTATAGGCTTTTCCAAGCCTCATTGCCTTCCTAAACTGTATCAAAAGTTGCATTTGCTGTTCTTGGAAGTGGATATTTCTCTCTTTTCCTCAAAGATAGACTGAAGCTCTGTCACACTGATGACAAAAGATGAGGTGAACTTCCTGAACCCTTCCCTGCGCCACTCTGCAGGATGCCTGCCCATGACAGGGCACAGTGTTTGGAGGAAATTAACGCCAGCCCTTTAACAAGTTCCACCCTTCTCAAGTCCAAATTGTGCTGTTGCTGCGGCTCTACAGCGGCTCTGACCTTCTGGGTCCATCAGTAAAGGTTAATGACACCCGCTTCTTCCGTTACCCAACACAGTGAAATGACACAGTAACGCCACCATAAAAATACTCCTTTAACAAGAAATGCTGCTGACATTTTGGAGGAACAAATTAGAGACCAAAATCCCATATTCTTTCAGAGCCAACAGCTTAGCTAAGTATTTAGCCCCAGGCCTAGAACCCCTGTCAGATAACTTTTCAGGATATTTCATCGAATTCAATTTAGTTGGATGACAGAGACTATAGCCTAACAAAATGTTCAATTCCTCCATAATTTTTCTCTTCGTTCATCTTTCTCTCAGCTAATTTGTTCTGTTCTCTGGAGTGTATCACCTCACCATGCTTTACACAAGTCTTCCAATGAAGAAGCATCCTTCTGCTTTGCGGGGAATTAGGAAGAAGGGGAAGGATCCCTTTTTATTTTTACCTGTTACCACCTCAGATGTTAAATTATCCAAGAATTCCTCTGAGACAACACAACTGGCTTCCTTTCTTCAAATGCCCAGTGCCTGTTCGTCTAATAGGATGCAATTATGTTGATTTTTGTGACCCATAGCAGGAAACAGGGCATGCCACTGCTCAGCAATGTTCCCCCAGTGCCTAACCCACCATCCACACTCTGGGATACTTGCTCTCTCCCTTTCTCACCTTTCCCCACAACTACACCTGGCTTGAAGAAAAAATGCAGTCTTGCTAACTGTCTCAATAAAACTTTAAAGATCTCTGCTTTGCTTTCCCCTTTTAGCACTAGGTGTCTTCTCACCTAAACAAAGACATTGCTTTAGCGGTTGGCCTCTGTAATGGATTATGCCTATCAGAATTGAAATAATCTACCTGAGATGGCTCTCATCAGAGAACCAATGACTCCCATGTTGGAGGAAAGTGAACAGAGTCTTGGAATAATGTAAAACCAAGATTATACAACTCTTTAAAGAACAAATGGTTTACTTGAAAATTAAGCCAAATGAATCTACCAGATGTACAATAAAGGAGAGGGAGATAAAAATATGAAATAGAGTTCCAAAGGGAGAGAATGTTTTCCAATTGATGAAAAATTCTATTTTTTCCATAAAAAGGGCCCATTCGAGCATGAATGAAACGTCAAATCATTAAAGATATAGACCAATCCTAAAACCTTCTCTAGAAACAAATTACTTAAAGAGGAGTGAGGATGACACCACCTTCTCAATGGGAATACTTACGATGAAGAAAACAGAGCAACATAAAGGAAGTAAAATGTATGTTAGGTCCAGAGGAAAATTGATTCTAGGTAACTGTAGATAATGATAGAAAATTATGTCTTAAAATTTTGGGATAATAGTTAAAAATAGCATGGTAAGTAATACACACACACAGAAAAACTGACAATATAAATCTAAAATTACTACCAATCACAATAAATGTGAGGTGATTAGATTCACATAGTAAAAGGCAGAGACTCTTAAATTGCGTTTACAAAATACCAGGATTATGATGTTTGCAGCAGACGCTCCTAAAACACAATGACCTGGAAAGGATGTCTGATGAGGGATGTCAAATGACAGGAGAAGATTTACCAGAAAAATGCTAATAACACAAGAGAGGAACAGGAACAGGTTAATATTATTGTGCAAATATTCAAATGGTAAAATAATTAAAATGTAATAAAGAAAATGGTTCATACAATCTGAATAAGTTTTCATATTAAAATAATATAGTATAATAGTATATCAAGGAATGATATGAACGTTTATGATCATAGTGTACAAACTGATAAAAATACCAAAGTGAATGATGAATGCATGATCGATGAAAACACTGAGCAAAACCTCTTCAGATCTAAACAATGTAGAATGTAAGTTATTTTCTTTTTTATTTAAGTTTATTGGGGTGACATTGTTTAATAAGATTTTATAGGTTTCAAGTGTACATTTCTGTAACACATGTTCTGTATATTGCATTGTGTTCCCACCACTCAAAGTCAAATCATCTTCCATCAGTATATATTTGGACCCCTAAGTTATTTACAAACACTGGAAACCGCAACACATTCCAAAGAGCAGAAAGCATTGCTTACGTGTTCTTCTTTCTGGTAGAGTAAAATCAGAAATTAATAGCAAAAAATACATTAGCAGTGGAAATTAAAGGTTAAAAAACATATTCAATTAATGCTTGAGAATTTGAGGGCAACCCAGACTCAAATCTGTGCAGTGTGACTTTAAGTACTTTTATGGGGAAAAGAAGTTTGCAAATAAATGAACTAAAGTTTTGAATTGAGAAGCTGGAAAAATACAAACATAAGCTGCACCTGTGCCCTTCCACCTGGTCCTCCCTCTGGTACCCTGGGCTCCCTATGGACGCCTCTCTCCAAGGCCAGCTCTCAGGCTACTGCAAGGATGTGACTGATGAGAGAGAAGAGAGGTGATCATTGCACAAATAGTCCCCTGCATCTCCTAGCCATGCTCTTCAGGTCACAAACATGTCTCCCATCTCAGGAAAAACAAAACTTCCCCTTAACCTCACCTTTAGCTACTGCCCCTTCCCTCTGCCCTCTTTTATGATAAATCTCCGAAAAAGAAAACCCCACCACCCCCTCTCCCTCCTTTCTCATGGCTCTCCCTCGTCCACAAAGCCACTGAATCAGTTCTTCTCAGTCTCCTCTACCTCTGCTTGCTCCCTGCTTGCTTACTGTCTGCCCCTCGCCACAGACGGGTTTGCACAGGTGGAAGGCTGCGTCTGTCTGTCTGTGGTTGTCCCTTATCCCCAGCACCCGGAGTTGTGCCTGGGACACAGCAGATTCTAAGGCACTATAAGGTGCTCCCCACCCCCCCCCAAATGTATACACACTTTAACAGCTAGTAGCTCAATTTTGAAAGTGAAATGTATTTTAATAGACGCCGCCTTTATAATTATCCAAAGTGTGTGTACCCATTTTTGGGACAGCCTATATTTACAGAGTCAATGGCAGGGTGGATTTATAAAGATAAAAGCAGCAGAATAAAATGCAAATAAAAGTGTGAAGGTAACTGAAAGAACCAAACTCGGGGGTAAAAGAACATTGACAGAAACCGACTTTTTTTGGCACTCCTGATCAAGAAAGGAGTCACAAAGCCGTATTAAAACTCGAAAGGTTCAGAGATATTTAAAACGTTTTAAAAGACCATTAGGTATATTATTGTAAACAATCTGAAAACGTAGAGCAAACACTCCTTTGGGGATAAAGTATAAATTATCAACATTTGGCCAAGCTATAAAAAACACAAGCAGACCAATAGCCATAAAAATACTGAAATGCTCATTGAGAATCTATCCCCAAGCGAGTCCTACCCAAAGAACTGAAACTACTGCGTTCAAGGGAGACCCGTGTGGCCCCACTGGGCCAACTCTTGAAACTAACAGAAGAACTCAGCCCACTGACCAGTTCCGTGATCCGAATACTGACACTGGCAAGAACCACTTGTGGTGTCAATCATCACTATGAAATGTCCAAGATTAAATCTAGTAAAAAACATTTCTTTTTTTTTTTTTTTTT